TGGTCACTTGTAGCCATTGAGTTTCAGTGTTCTCACCTATGAGGGAGCTTGAAAAAGTTTGTGGAAAAAATGGAATTAACGACCACGTTTATTTTGGTGCCAAAACATTCTGAAAACCATGCATAGTTTTTTATAATACGTGTTTTCCTTGAACTGTTTGACGACCCCTTGTATATGAGAATTCATTGTTTTATAAGATCCTGTGGCTTTTTTTTTTTTAAGATTTATTTATTTATTTGAAAGAGTTACAAAGAGAGAGGTAGAGGTAGAGGTAGAGGTAGAGGTAGAGGTAGAGAGAGAGAGAGAGAGAAGTCTTCCATCAGTTGGTTCGCTGGTTCCCTCTACAAGGGCCACAGCTGCCAAGCTGAAGCCAGGAGCTTCTTCCAGGTCTCCCACGTGGGTGCAGGGGCCCAAGCACTTGGGCCATCTTCCACTGCTTTGCCAGGCCATTAGTGGGGAGCTGAATTGCAAGTGGAACACCAGGACTCCAACCAGTGCCTGTATCAGATACTGGCGCTGCTGGCGGTGGCATAACCGCTGTGCCATGGCACCGGCCTCTCCTGTGGCTTTTTATTTTGTATTTATGAGTAAAGGCTAACATCAACCCAGGGCTGAGATGCCCTGCCTGCTGGGTCTCCTGCGTCCTGCTGGGAGGCCACGTGCTGGAGGAATCCTTAGAAAGCCTGTTGTGTCTCTGCATTGGTCCGCCTTTCACTCTTGTGGCAAAGGACCTAAGACAGTCTACTTAGGAACCTACACAGGTGTATCTTGGCCCATGGTTTTGAAGGTCACAGTCTGAGCTCCCATGTTGCCATTTGAAGATCCCATGGTGCCATTGGTCCTGTGTGTGTCTGGTGAGGCCAGAGGATGGCAGTGGTGGAGTGTGTGTGGAGGAAGGATCACATGGCGAGCCGGGAAGCAGGGAGTAACTACGCCCAGCTCAGCTCTCTGTTCAACCCGCTCATGAGCACTCCCTCCAAGACCACTCCCCAGTGACACGAGGCGCCCCTGCGAAGCCCGCGGCCTAGACAGCATACTTGGATCCAGCCTCGCCTCTCTCAGTGCCATTGGCCCAGGACTTTGGGACTTAACGGCTCTGCGTGAGTTTGGGAGCCATATCCTATTCAAGCCGTGGAATGGTATGTGGGTATTTTCTGTGATGTTCTGTGGAGACCCTAACACAGCTGCTGCTACACTTGACTGTCAGTGTGCCCATGAGGATTTTTGTTAGTTTAACGTAGTAAGCCACAAAGTAAGAATCATTATCCTACACGGTTTCATATGACTTATAGCAATGGCTCATATTCATACTGAAAGTGGTGTCTCTACACCTTTAATACGTATCTCTTGCTGAGCAAAAATCTGCCTCACTAATTTTATTTGAACTTTCTTTTTTTTTTTAAATTTTTGTCTTTTTTTAAATTTTTTGACAGCAGAGTGGACAGTGAGAGAGAGAGGCAGAGAGAAAGGTCTTCCTTTGCCGTTGGTTCACCCTCCAATGGCCGCTGCGGCCGGCGTACTGCAGCCGGCGCACCATGCTGATCCGATGGCAGGAGCCAGGTACTTCTCCTGGTCTCCCATGGGGTGCAGGGCCCAAGCACTTGGGCCATCCTCCACTGCACTCCCTGGCCACAGCAGAGAGCTGGCCTGGAAGAGGGGCAACTGGGACAGAATCCGGCGCCCCGACCAGGACTAGAACCTGGGGTGCTGGTGCCGCAGGCGGAGGATTAGCCTAGTGAGCTGCGGCGCCGGCTAATTTTATTTGAACTTTCAAAATAAATTGTCAGGAGGGAACATAAAGCAGAGCGATTGTACGTTGACTTGTGCCAGTGCAGGGGTGATCCCCCCTCTGGACGCTCAGAGTGCTGCCTCCAGACTTGGGCACTGTGGGAGGCAGAGCACACCCTCACCATCCTTGCTTTCAGAGCGGGGAGCTGCAGCCCAGGGAGGTCAAGTGACCTCTCCAAGGATACACAGGCAGTTAATGGGAGTAGGAGGTCCCCCACTTCTCTGGGTTCCACCCCAGTGCTCTCTGAAGTGCCGTTTCTTTTCTCAACACCTCATTCATTAAGATTGCTGTACCACCTGCACATTCGTTTTCTCTCCTGACAGCAGCTTGGCGTTAGAACCATCATTCATGGAACAGGGACCCTTGATAATCGTATTCATGGGAACATTGTCATAGCTTCCCAAGGAAACACTTGTACCGAGTCTTACGTATCTAAATGTACTCTGGTCCTGAAGTTAATCTTTTTAAAAAAACTATTTTATTAATAATTATGCATATTCATGAAATTAAGGTTTTTTCCAGTCATTTTGTGTTCAACTAAATACACAGGAAGAACAACTGTGGCTTTCATTTACAAAAGAACCTTCCGTTTGAAGGGTAAGTGTACCCGTGATAGGCTTCCTTGGACCTGTTCCAGAATTGTCTATTTCATTTTTTGCAGCAGCGACTTTAGAATATATCCTCATTTCAGAGAGTGGTAATTTACTTCTTGTTAACTCCCAGCCCATTAAGATTAAAAGGTACTTCCTTAGGGGTGATGGCCTGGTCTTCTTGCCAAGGTGGTTAGCCTGCTAAATGTTCTGTTCCAGCATAATGAATCATTGAGTGTACTATTGAACACTTAATGTCTTTGAAAGCATTAACCCAGGTGACTTAAAACTGCCTCCATGTAGAACCCTGGGTTTTAAACTGCTTTTCCAATTCAATTTTTATTTTATTACTTTTAATTGAGACATTAAAATGTCTTATTAGGTTTATGGACTTATATGTTTCAGTATACATTCAATTCAGAGAAGTGGTAGAATTTTTAAGGGGAGTTTGACTTAGAAAAAAATTAGTTCTTTCTTAGTTGGTTCCTCTGGCTCTTAAATCTCAAAGTTGGATTTGCTGTCCAGCTTGTGTGTAAATAAATGCTATTTATGTGTTATGAGAGTGTGGCTTTTCTTTCCCTCCTCTTCCTCTCCTCATTAGCAGGTTCTCTCTCATTCTCCACAGTTATGTTGCACAGCGTCAGTTGCTCTCTGTCTCTGCCTCTCTTTCCACAAAAGTTCATGGCAGGCCTGGACTAGAGATGGCCTCCAACTTGTTCATCTGTTCTGTGGGCAAGAGCCAAGATCTATTTTTTAAGTGCCTTTATCAATGAAAACACCCCTTTAAGACTCCACATGGTAGCACTGTGGAAGGTCACAAGACTTCTGCCAAAACTGAGAGCCAGGTATTCAGTCCAGGTGTCGTGTGGACCCAGTCATTTGAGCCATCACCATTGCTTCCCGTGGTGTGCGTTGGCAGGAAGCTTGGGGTCAGACATCCAGCCCAGGCACTCTGATGTGGCATATGGATGTCTTACCTGGTGTCTCATCCACAAGGCCAAATGCTTGGCCTCACTTGATCTATAAGTTATGTTTTAAAATTTTTTGGAAAAGTATTTGTTATTTATTTGAAAAGCAGAGTGACACAGAGAGAAAAAGAGAGAAAAGTGATCTTTCATCCACTGGTTTACTCCCCAAATGGCCACAACAAATGGATGTGATCCAAGTCGAAGCCAGGAACCCAGAACCCCATCCGGGTCTCCCACATGGGTGCTGGGGCCATCTTCCACTGCCTTTCCAGGAGCGTTAGCAAAGAGCTGGATTGGAAGCAGAGCATCCGGGACTTGGACTGGAGTGCCAATGTGGGATGCGGGTGTTGATGTCACAAGTGGCAGCCTAAACCACTCTGCCTCACTGCCAGCTCTTTGAAAAGCATTTGTTTGAGAGATAGAGCAGGACACTCAGAGTGAGAGAGAGAGAGAGAGAGAGAGAGAAAGCTTCTACCTACTGGTTGTTTAATGGGTGCTGGAGTGATTATTTATCTAATTTAGCACAATCTGCTTCAGATGAGTAGTCGCCTACTTTTGTCTTTGCTTTCATATTTGCCATTTCTAGTACTTTCTGTTCCTTCCTGTGAATTTGCATTCCTGTTGGATATTACTGGCCCCCTGCTTTTTAAAATATTTATTTATTTTATTCGAAAGAGTTCCATAGGAGAGGCAGAAGTAAAGAGAGAGGTCTTCCATCCTCTGGTTCACTTCCCAAATGGCCACAATCATTGGAGCTGGGCCAGGCTGAAGCCAGGAGCCAGGAGCTTCATCCAGGTCTCCCATGGGTACAGGGACCCAAGCACTTGATCCATCTTCTGCTGCTTTCCCAGGCCATTTGCAGGGAGCTGGATTGGAAGTGGAGCAGCCAGAACTTGAGTGGGCTCCCATATGGGATGCAGGTGCTACAGGCAGTGGATTAGTCCACCGTGCCACAGCACCGGCCCCTGGTGTTACTACCTTGAAGCGTAAAGGACTTGCTGCTTTGGCATTTCTTGGACAGATCTTGCAGTTTTTGTTTATCTGGGAATGTCTTTTATTTCATTTTTATTTTTGAAAGAGTTTTTGCTCAATATCAAATTAGTTGATTTTGTTTTCCCTTTCAGCCTTCTCAGTGTCATTTCTCTGTTATTTTTGTTATTTTTCTCTTAACCTTTCAGCCAGTTGACTATGATGTCTATAGATGTATATTTCTTCATTTGGGTCCTACACAAGGTTTATTGGGCTTTTTGGTTTTTGGTTCTAGAGATTAATGTTTGATATGAAATGTGAAACATTCTCAACCATTATTTCTTTAATATTGCTTTTTACTACATAAATGTGTTCTTTTATATCCAGTGTGTTGGAGTAAGAATGTTAAACTTTCCAATTTCAGGAAATCTGTTTGGTGGTCCTTCCCCTTCCCCCCTTCTCTTCTAAAAACAATTTCTGTCTCTTTGTTGATATTATCCATTTGGTAAGAAAGCATTGGCATGCTCCCTTCTGATTCCTCAAACATAATTTTCTTTTAGTTTTTTTTTTAAACATTTTTGGAAAAGTTCTTTTAAAATCTCTGTTAAGTCTGCTATCTAAGATTCCTTTGGGACAATTTCTATTGACTACATTGTTTCTTATCCATGGCCCTATTTTAGTCCCTTGTGCTGCTTTCCCAAAATACTACAGACTGAGTAGTTTACGAAGAACAGGAATTGTTTCTCTGATAGTTCTGGAAGCCGGGGAGTCCAACATCAAGGTGCCAGCAGGCTCACTGTTTGGCTGGGACTTGGTCCAAGATGGCTGCTTGAACAGCGTGTCCTCGGGGAGGAGCACCCTGTGTCTTCACATGGTGGAAGTTGGAGAGGCACAGGGGTGAAGTGCTTCTTCCAGCCCCTGCACAGGGGCTCCGCATCTCATCCAGGAGGGCGGAGCTCTCCTGCGTCAGTCTTCTAAAGCCACACCTCCCCACACTGTCGCACTGGGGCTTAAATTTCAGCATGAATTTTGGAGAGGGCAAAAACATTCAAACAACAGCCAGGCCACAGTCTCTTGTTCTTTGCATGTCTTACTATTATTTGGGTAGGGGGTAGAAAGCTGACATTTTCAGTAATATGACACAGCATCTCTGGAAATTAGGTTCCTGTGTCCCACCGGGGTTGTTGGTGGTGTTTGTTGTCATCTGTTTGTTTAGTGATTTTCTTGGGCTAATTCTGTGAAGTCTGAAGCCACTGATGTTTGTGCTTGTTTAGGTTGGTTTTCAGGTAACCGTCAGTAAGAGACTCCCTTAAATGCCTTGCACTAATCTTGTGTTCTTTGCCAGGGGCCTCTGTGTCAGTTTGGGGGTATGCCTTCACGGAAGGAAGCTTGCAACACTGCCTTGACCTTGACTCCTGCTTGCATGGACCCTCAAGGGGAGAGAAGTGAGGAGTTAGGTTCTTTCCCGGGAAGCAGCCCTGTGCATGCTCATGGCCTTCCAGATTCCTGGGGTAGGCTGGAGTTTTTCCAAGTCTCCTCTGGACATCTTCCCAAGTTTTTCCTTTCAAGTTTGTTGACTGGCTTCTTACTACGTCTAATTGGAATTTCTGCCTCAGGCGATCATGATATTAAACAGTCACCATTATTGTTTTCATCAAATGTCACGGCAAAAGAGCTTTTTGCCCAGAAAGCACTTTGCGTCTGGTCAAATAAAGGGAACCCCTGCCCTTGCAGCTTTGCAGGGAAGTGCCAGGCACGTTAGCCGGTAGCGGTTCAGTAGCAGTTCTCCTGAGGCGCAGCTTTTGTGGAGCTCCACGTGGGCTCTGGGTGGCTGCTGACGGTCACGGCCACCTTAGCTGTGAGGCTCCTGGGGTTCATGGCTGCACGGAGCTGGGGAGAGGGGGACGGGAATGGGCAGGTTAGAATGGCACAGAGCTTGCCGTTCTTCCAAAGAACCAACATTTGCACTGTTGCAAGACGTGGGCTAACTTCCAGGGTTCTGGAAAAGTGATTTTGATAATCTTCCCAGTGTTTGTGTTGCTTCTGTGCAGGAGCAGATTTTCAGAGTTTTCTAGATCACTTCCGGAATCATGCCGGAATCACCATGCCGGTGATTGGACAGTGTTCCTTTTTTTTTTTTGTAAAATTTTGAATTTATTTTTATTTACTGGAATGGCAGAGAGACAGACTTAGACAGTCAGAAAGGGATCCTCACTCCCCAGAAGACCTAAGCCGTCACCGGCTGCCTCCCAGGGTGCCCAGCATTGGGAAGCTGGAATCAGAAGCAGAGCTGGGACTCGAACCCAATCACTGTTATGGGTGCAGGTGTCCCAGTGGCCCCGTAACCACACACCACCTGTGCGCCCAGTGGTTGTTTATAGCCACTGTGCCCACAAGGTTCCAGCCGCCACCTTTTCCGTCTGTGTGTGACGTGCAGAGCTTTGAGTTTCAGCACTCTCAGATCATCTTAGCTTGCTTTTTCCCTCTGGTCTCCTCTGCAGTCGCTGGGGTTTTTAGCCAGCCAGGCAAGCAGGAAGACCGTACCTCCACCTGGCTCTGGCTCTCGCTGCAGGTGCTCCACTCCAAGTTCCTGACGGCTGTGCTCTTGCAGCAAGCAGGGTTACAGTCCCAGCCAGCACAGCTGTAGTTTTCCCGGCTTCTTTCCTGTGAATTCGCCTTATCAGACGAAGTCCCTACCACATCAGTCTGTTCCTCCTGCAAGCCCAGCTGCTGATTTCCCCGTCCAGCCCTGTGCACACAAAGCTGCCATTCCTGAAGGCTGAGCTGGGTGTGGGCTGGGAGCCTCCCCGAGGCGAGAGGACCTGACTTCTGCTAGTCCTGCCTGGCTTTGCTCAGTTTCCAGCTCGCTAAAAGTGTTTGTTTTTGGATAATTGCACTTTGCGTGTAGAACCGTGTGTTGCCTAACGACAGGGATCTGTCCTGAGAGACGGGTGCTGGGCTGTTGGTTGCGTGTGAATGCCACAGAGTGCGCTTACCCAAGCCTGGATGGTGCAGGTCCGCCACTTGACAAGGCCTCGGGATGCCCTCCGGAGACCTGACAGATGGGATGGGTGAGGCTGCTGCTGGCGGCTGCTCCACTCTGAGCTTGCTTTTGTAAGAAGAAGGAGCGCCCTCTAAGATACAGACAGAAAGCGTGGTCATTGGTTATCGCGATCAGGCGTTGTGTAATGGGGCTAATCACATGTCCTGTACTTTCACGGGGCTGGCAGGGCAGTGGGTTTGTTTACACCAGCCTTCCCCTGGACACGTGAGCCATGTGTTGTCCTGTGACTTACGGCAACTGTGACATCACTCGGAGAGAGGAATTTTTCAGCTCCATTATAACCTTATGGGACTGCCATCACGTATGCTGTCTGTCATTGAGCAGAACGTTGGCATGCTTTTCAGAGCTGATATGCTGACGTCACATCACTGTAGCTGGAAGGGATGGTCAAGAGCGGACCCTTCCGATTTTGTGTGGTGTGGCATGTGGGAGACCTGCGTGGTGGAATAATGGCCATTGCACACGTTGACGGAGTCCTCACTGTCTGCAAAAGACTGTGTAAGCAGTTTTTCCGCATTGCCTTACTTAGTTTTGTCTTTATCCTGCAGAGACACAGGTACTGTTAATTTCCTGCTCCTCTTTACAGATCAGAAAAGAGACTCCATGCACATCTCATTCATGAGTGGCCGAAACAAGAGTAAGACCCAGCTCACTTTGGCCCTAAGACCCAGTTTTCAACTGTATTGTATTTCTATAGCTGGCGTGTGGCCCCAGGAGACATCACAGTGGGAGGGAGGCAGGGACATAAAAGGGTGGCTGGGAACTGGCCGCAGAAAGGTCCAGAAGCATCATCCTATCTCTCTGTTTCTCGCTCTTTGTTGGCTGGAGGTTTACCGTGTGGCCCTCAGTGCTGGCTGCCTCCTGGTGGGCCCTGCTCAGAGAGACGGGCTGGGCCTCCCAGTGACTCTGAGTCGTGCACGTTTCCTCCCTCATGTGACATTGCACTGTTTAACCCACCCAGGGCCCCTGAGCCCTCCACAGTGTTATCTGCTAAAGTGGTAGAGTGGGAGCACAGGAATGCAGTCTCCTCCTTGCAGCACACTTAATGATCCCTATAAAGAACAAGCATACAGGGCTCAGGGCTGTGGTGTAGCAGGTTAAGCCTCCACCTATGATGCCAGGATCCCATATAGGCACTGCTTTGAAACCCTGCTTCTCCACTTTCAGTCCATCTCCCTGCTGATGTGCCTTGGAGAGCAGTGGAAGGTGGCCCAAGTGCTTGGGCCCCTGTACCAAGCAGGAAAACTCTTGTTTGAGCCTGGCCAGCCCTGCCAGCTCTGGCTGTTGCAGCCATTTGGGAATGAACCAGTGGATTGAAGATTCTCTCTCTCTCTTTCTCTCTCTCTGTAACTCTGCCTTTCAAATAAATAAAAAATAAATCTTAAAAAAAAAAAAAAAGAATAGGGCGTGCAAAAGCTGTGTTAATTTTAAGATTTATTTTTCTTTCACTGTTGTATTCCCCTTTCAGACTCATATTGTATACTTTTCTCCTTTCTTTCTTTTTTTTTTTTAAAGACTTATTTGTTTATTTGAAAGTCAGAGTTACAGATCTTCCATATACTGGTTCACTCCCCTAGTTGGCTGCAATAGCTATGGCTAAGCCAAGTCAGAGCCAGGAGCCTCTTCTCCCATGTGGTCTCCCATGTGTGTGGCAGGGGCCCAAGTACTCGGGCCATTCTCTTCTGCTTTCCCAGGCCATTAGCTGGGAACTGGATCAAGAGTAGAGCAGCCAGGGCACGGACTGGCACCCATATAGGATGCCACATTGCAGGCAGAGAATTAACCTGCTAGCCTACAATGCTGTTCCTTTGTGTTTCTATTAACATGAAAGAAGCCAGTTGTAATTTTAAAATTTTAATTGCATATTTTCCCCTATCTTTATTTTTAATCAAGCATTTCAAACTGGCACTCAAACATTACACAGTGTTTCCTTGAGCTTAAGAGTGCTAATTTTGGGTTTTTATGTTTCTTTAAGTTAGCATTAAATAATCCTTGTCTGAGAATATTGATGTTTAATTAGTGTTTATCACTCAGCAAAAGTGCAAATGAGTGATTAATTACTAAAGAGGTAATGAAAGAGAGGATAAAGTAAAATTTGCATACCAGAGGGATTTAACTTTTTTTTTTTTAAGATTTATTAATTTTGTTTGACAGGAAGAGTTACAGAGAGGCAGAGGCAGAGAGAAAGAGAGAAATTTTCCTTCCATGGTTCACTCCCCAAATGGCCACAAAGGCCGGAGCTGTGCCAATCTGAAGCCAGGAACGAGGAGCTTCTTCTGGGTCTCCCACATGGGTGCAGGGGCCCAAGGACTTGGGCCTTCTTCCACTGCTTTCCCAGGCCATAGCAGAGAGCCAGATTGGAAATGGAGCAGCTGGGCCGGCGCCGCGGCTCACTTGGTTAATCCTCCGTCTGCGGCACCGGCACCCTGGGTTCTAGTCCCAGTTGGGGTGCCGGATTCTGTCCCAGTTGCTCCTCTTCCAGGCCAGCTCTCTGCTGTGGCCCGGGAGTGCAGCGGAGGATGGCCCAAGTGCTTGGGCCCTGCACCCACATGGGAGACCAGGAGGAAGCACCTGGCTCCTGGCTTCCAATCTGCGTATCGTGCCGGCCGTAGCATCCATTTGGGGGGTGAACCAACGGAAAGGAAGACCGTTCTCTCTCTTTCTCTCTCTCGCTGTCTAGCTCTGCTTGTCAAAAAAAAAAAGAAAAAAAAAAGAAAAAAAAAAAAAAAGAAAAAGGAAGTGGAGCAGCCAGGACTCGAACTAGCGCCCATATAGGATGCCAGCACTGCAGATGGTGGCTTTACCTGCTATGCCGCAGCGCTGGCCTCCAAGGTTTAACATTTTTAGTCTTGTAACTTTGAGGTTTTTTTAAAAAAATTATTTTCTATGTATTTGAGAGGTAGAAAGAGAAACAGACAGATAGATGGCCTAGGAACTCTCACCTGCTGGTTCATTCCCCAAATTCTCCCCCTCTCCCCCAATGCTAGGACTGGGCTGGACCAAGGCTGGGAGCCTGGAACTCAGTCCAGGTTTCCTATGTGAGCGTCAGGGATCCAGCACCTCCCAGGGTGTGCTTTAGCAGGAAGCTGGCATCAGCAGCAGAGCTGGGACTCGAATCCGGCCCTGTGATGTGACATGTGGCCTCTTAGCCAGTAGACAAATTGCCTGCTCCAAGATTTTTGTGTTTTGTTAACACTGGTAACTAATAACACAGGTTATTAGTTATCATAAAGTATGGATATAGCGTTTCAGTTGATGTCCTACCCTTGCAGAAAAGTTACAGTTGTATGATAGTTTTAAATAGGCAAGTGATCCGGCCTGGCATCTAGGCTTAAAGTTCAGTGAAAGCTTTGTGAATTTGTTCAGTGGACTTGTTTTCTTCCCGACTTCCAGCCGAGGTGGGCTGCACCAAAGGGCTGGCGATGTTGAGTGGAGACTAAAACAGAGCGGCAGGGGGAGCGGGGGCATCAGGGTTGATAAGGGTGACGGTGAGGGGGACAAGGGCAGGTCTGGGTAGCCTGGGGGAGACGCTGAGACCTTCCCTAAAGCGGGTGAGGGCAGCATGGCCCACCTGAGAATGTGTGAAAGGCTCTGGGAGATGCTGGGGATGGTCCCCTCCCTCTCTCCCCAGTGACCTCCTCTCCCACCCGACTGCCCCGTCTCCCATCTGCCCTCTCCTTACCTCAGCTCCACTCTTTCCCTTCCCCTCCTGGCATTCCCTAATATTTCCTTCTTTTCTTTTTTATTTGACAGGCAGAGTTAGACAGTGAGAGAGAGACAAAGGTCTTCCTTCCATTAGTTCACCCCCCAAATGGCCGCTATGGCCAGTGCTACACCGATCCGAAGCCATGAGCCAGGTGCTTCCTCCTGGTCTCCCATGGGGTGCAGGGCCCAAGCACTTGGGCCATCCTCCACTGCTTTCCCGGGCCACAGCAGAGAGCTGGCCTGGAAGAGGAGCAGCCGGGACTAGAACCCGGGGCCCATATGGGATGCTGGCACCACAGGCGGAGGATTAGCCAAGTGAGCCATGGCGCCAGCCCCCCTAATATTTCAATAGCTAAATAATTTGTCTTATTATCTTTGTCGATTACTGTCTTCCTGCTCTCCTGTGACTTGTTTTTTTCAGTTCTTATTTTCACTCTTTTCTGTTTATTTTTTAAATGTCTGTTATTTTTATCTACTTGAAAGGCAGAGTGTGTATGTGAGAGAGAGATCTTGCACCTGCTGGTTCACTCCCAAATGTCTGTAACAGCCAGCATTGGGTCAGGCGGAAGCCAGGAGCCAGGGACTCCATCCAGTCTGCTCCCCAGGATGCGTTAGCGGGAAGCTGGACCTCAGATGGAGGAGCTGAGACTTGAACCAGCACTGTGATCGGACACAGGTATCCCGAGCAGCGGTTTAACCAGGCACCACAACACCCACCCCTCTTTCTTTTGTTAATTAAAACATTTGAATTTGTTGATTATACATAAATGTCCTTAGTTCCTATTTTATAATAATAGTGTCCGATGCTTCATTGGCTCAAGAGATATTTAGCAGTTTTAAAATTTCTAAAATATTTTGATCACTGTCTAATTTTGTTGCCCTGGAGTAAGAGAATATTGGCAGTATACTTCATAATTTTTAGAAGTTTTCAAAATTTTCTTTGTGAGTTATTACATTTTGTTACTGCAGCTCAGTTAAGAATTGTGCTGGGCTGTGAGAAACAAAATCCTGGGATGTAGGGGCTTAACCAAGCAAGGGAGTGACTTTCTTTTTCCTTAAGATTTGTTTATTTATATGAAAGGCAGAGTTAGAGAGACCCACACACACAGCGAAAGAGCTTCCATCCTCTGGTTCACTCCCTAAATGGCTGCAGTGGCCAGAGCTGGGCCGGTCCGAAGCCAGGAGCCAGGAGCCAGGCGCTTCTTCTGGGTCTCCCACATGGGTAAAGGGACCCAAGCACTTGGGCCATCTTCTGTTGCTTTCCCAGGTACATTTGCCGGGAGCTGAATCAGAAGTGGAGCAGCCCTGACTCAAACCAAGGCCCATGTGGGATGCTGGTGCTTCAGGTGGCGGCTTTA